GCAATGGTTATGTGCCTCCCATGCCTGTAATGGGTGAAACAGTGACAAGTAACAGCCTAAGTGATTGATGAAGTAGGAAAGATATCTTAAGAGAGCAGAATCAGAAAGTGACAGGAAAAGAAATGCATGTGGAAAACAAGATTTCATGAAGGAGGGAGTTTGATTTACATTTAATACAAAACCAATTTTTTACACCTATGCTTTTTTTTTTTTTATTTCAAGCACTCCCTGACAGGACAAGAATATTCTTTAATGCAAATAATAGATTAAGACAATAGCAACATGGCTCCAACCAAAGGAGGAAACTAAAACATATGTCCTTCAGAGACAAAGGAAAGCATAGATTCTGCCCTAAAGAGCTCACAGTCTGCTTTTACTAACATAATTGGATGAGGTAGTATATACATATTACAGACTCAGAAAGAGCTGACTTTGTTATTTTATCTATAAAAATAATTTTCTGAAGTTTCAAAGTAATTATTGACAATGATTCCTGAAAATAGACATGAACATACAGCAATATTTTAGAAGTTCAACATAAAGATACTGGATTGAGTAAATTGTGCAAGAGTACCACTTTAACAGATTTGGAACCTAAGGATATAACTGCTTGATTCATTGCTTGTTACAATCCATCAAAGTTGCTTGGTTTATCATAGCTCTTCGTTGTCTTCAAAAGATTTAGTGAAAAGTTTTTTCCACTACTTTGCACAGCTTTTCAAAAGCTGACAGGCACAAAGCTGAAGTAATCCATGGTAGTGCCTCTTTTTGTGTCCTTGCTGGACCTGTCTCACTTCCATGCTGTGGGTAAGGCAGTAACTCAAAAAGTACTGAAGTTTTCACTAAGTAAATCACTTCAGAATTACTCTAGTATAATTGTGCACGTGAACAATTGAAAGAAAATGGAAGTCAGAAGGCATTTAAAATAAATAAATAAATAAATAAAATTGATGTTCCCGTAATGAATTTACTCAGCTACAGAAGCAGACCTTCACATTCCAAAATACATTAAATTTCTATATATGCCATCCTCTTGCCAAAGCCCCATCTGGAATAGAGGAGCTCTCTTCACTCTTCATGACCAGGGAAGGTCATCAATTCAAACCTATAAGCATGGAAGCCTGGCTTGTTTCTCTGTTTAGGCTCAATCACACAGTGACAGAGACCGGTAAACAGCCCTATGGTGGTAAAGTTGCAGTTTCAACAAGAGCATTATTATAATACCATCAACTGTCAGTCTACATAGTCTACATTCTACCATTTCCAATCCTATATATAAACGAGAAAAGAATTAAGACTTTGCAGCTTCACTTTCATTTTCGTATTCTGAAAAGCCACCCATTATCAGTCCTGCAAAAGATGAGCAGAAAACTAGGAACTTAAGGGGCCAAAAGAATAAAACTGACAGTGATATTAAAAGTACATCAAAAAACAAAGACTGGACATTAAAATGATAGCCATGGAAACTGCCATAAAGTATCCAGATTATAGCAAGATCCTGAATCCAAGGGCATTCTACTGAAATGCTGGGATTGTCCACAGGAGAGCAATTAAAGGATCTGATTGATAGTTGTAACAAAGTCCTTAAACAAATTGTTTTCATATCCCTGTATAAAACAAAACATTTAAGAAATAAATGAATAACTCCTATATGCACTTTTTTCTTTTTGACATCATTTTAAGTGCTGGACATTAATAACTTAGTGTAAAACATCAGTAAGTGTTATATTATCCAATGAAAAAAAAATATAAACACAGACAAAAAAAAATCCCTATCAGTTTCTATTTCCTATGCTGCAAAATGATTTTTCAGTTACTTACATTTAGACCGATGCATTGCCAAATTGAGGGCCTTTCTAAAGTCATAATCTAGCACGCACTGAAAAAAACCTCAACACTCACAATTCAGAAATTGGACTGCAGCTCCACTTACGTTTCTATTTCTGTAGTTTGCATTTAAAATAATTTCAACTTGTGTTTAATCTCTTGTCCTGCCGGCTTTTTCAAGGTGGGGAAACAGAGTATGCAATACGCACACAGTATAGAAACATGATCTTGAGCACAAAACCATGAGACTTGGGACAGATGTTCAGTTTCCAGTACTGTTACGAATTTCTTTAATGTAAATTACTTCATCTCTTTAAGCCTCAGTTCTCAGCCATAGAGTTGTGAAGACAAACTGGTCAATGGTGTTAGCTATTCAGACACCAGAATTGAATGTTTAAATAAAAACAAACAAAAACACCCCACCACACAAGTCAATTAAAGAACTACTGGTAAAGAACAGGCCAGACTGACACCCAGGCCTAGGAACCCAAAAAGTGGAACTTACGGGACCAAGTTCTCTATTGTTCATTACTTCTCAAGAAGGTGTCTTTAGGAATCAAGTTTAGTGTGGTATCTTTATTGTGTGAAGGATCCAAGAAAAGGATACATTCAGACTTGTAATGAATATAAAAAAACCTAATGAAGCTGCTACCTTGTCAATCAGATGTAGGCTGTAGCCAAAAATAACAGGAAGAGTTCCAGTAGAGCAAAGAGTATGCATTTACTGTATCAACTCTTGAAGTAAAGGTGTCAAAAAAATCCTGTGTGTATAGAGTGGTCGAACGGCAAACAAAAACTTGAACGGGCTTCCTTTGCTCTCATGAACTTCTGAACAACCAGGAAAGACTGACTGGTGGAATTAGCTGCTTGTTACTGTGAACCAAGACAGTCAGTCTTACCTACTCCAAAAAATGCCAGCACCAAAAAGCAATAAAACAACAATGCAAACTACCTTCCCTCAGCCCTTACAGGTTTTGCACGTATGTATTCTCATACTACTACTGAATGCAATTCTGTAAATCTAATCTTGACATCTAATCTTTAAAGTATCAAGCTTCATTAACCAAGGTGTAACACAGCACCTGCAACTGCAGGCACAGCAAGCAGCAGTGCTGTGCTGGTGGAACTCCCTCAGTCAAATGCCAGGCAAGGCAGAAAGTCATGAGATTTTTATGCTTTAGAGCGCATCTCAGGGTTGTGATCAGCAGTTCAGCTAGCCTTAAACGTATTTCTTACAGTGCATTTATAATCTTGGCTTTACTCCATGTCACTTGCATTGCACACACGTAAGTTGTCTGTACTGTGCCATGCTACCTTGTTTTTATTGAGCACACTTACTCTTCTGTCTGTGGGCAATTAACTCAATTTGCAACAAGCAAAAGTTTCAGCAACCGGTTTAAAATCCTCATCATACTTTTGGCATGGGTTGCAAAAAGCCTGCCAGCAAACTATGGCCACAAGCAGCAGTTGTTTTCACCAGGGCATTCTTCAGTGAGATCCCTCTCCTACTACACTGTAGACATACCCAATAAACTGCAGCTTTTCAGCTACCTCTACTGTGTAGTTCTCTCACCTATATCACACAGGAGAGGGTATACCCTGTAAGAGGTGTACCGGTGGTGTGCATTTACTAGAGGAATGACTCCAAAACACACAGTGCAGCAATCTGCTCAAGAACTTAGTATAGGCTTATTTCAAATCAGAGACCACTTTGTCCTTTCTGGCCAGACAAGCAAGATGTGGAATAAAAAGGGCAGAAGCAATTGCTGCCATTCATACACAGCACTTGACTGAAGAAAAGCTGCGTGTTTTTCAACACTACCTCACATCTTCTGTAAGCCTTCTTTCTGAAAAATAAGCAGAAGTTCAACACTGCCGCCTCTGAAGACACAGCCTATTTTCTTATCCCCACAGGCTTTCCTGTTGTCTCCGACGCCTCCCCCTAAGCAAACTTGCCAAAAAGAGGGACATCCAGACAGCCGGACGGGTCACTCTGATCAGGCAATAAAACTGTAAGGCCAGGGTCACAATTCGCAGTGTAGAGACATTTCCTTACTGCATGCAAGTATTTAAAAAATACTTCCAAACTGTGTTATGACAGAGCGCGATTCTCCACATGACAGAAACATTCAGTTAAGTTAAACCGATTTTGTTGATTTTGCTTTTCCTCTTTATATCTTCTCTTCGCCCTCTAAATTATTCTAGTCTGTGCATTAACCCCTTGCAGAATCTCTCTTGTTGTGCCACCCAGACACCCATATTTGCCTGGAAAGTTTAATCTTGTCTCAACTGGAATCCTTCTCTCGGGAGTACACAGCCTGTTATACTGCAGTTTATTACCTTCAAAAAGAGCCTGAAGACAAAAAGGCACCTCAGGACTTAAACGGTCCATTGATGTTCTGTTGCAACCTTTATTTAAACAGTCAATTTGGCTAAGATGGCCTAAACAGACAGGGAACAAATCAGAAAGATTAAGTGTGTGACAACAACAAAACAAAATTCCATCCCAGATCGTGGTAAGAGCTCCGAGCAGCATTTCTGCCTTACATGGCAGTGTTTTAATTGTCCAGCTGGAAATTAAAATTCTATAAACTGGCTTTTTTATTAGAATAGCAGCCCTTTATCACATTTGGGCACTGTTTATCAAAGAGCTTACCGTATGACCAAGCCAGCAAAAGCATAGGAAAAGCAGAAAACTAAAGCACAGAGCAAGTTACTTGCCTAACGGTGCAGGCAAGGCTGTGGCAGGGCCAAGAACTGAACATAAGCTTCCTTACATATCGGTGTATTGCCTAAGCTAAGACGACAATGAATATTCGTGCAGAACTACATCCCCAAGCACTATCTGGACAACAGCTATCACACATCATATCAAAAATTGTATGAACGAATACAACCTTTTAATTAACCTGCCAAAAAGCTAACACTGACTAAGAAGCAGGCAGTGCCCAGCTTGGATCTGCTCCAGCCTTCCTAGCTGTCAATTCTAGTCATTTAAAGTCTTTGTTGGAGTTCCCCCACAAGGTGACCTTTACAAAATTCAGCTGTTCTGAAGATCAGGAAATTCAGTTACCCACAATATCATTACATGGGACAGCTCTTAAAGCACAATGAAAAAAAATATTATTATAAACAAATGTCTTCTAGTCAAGTTCAATAAAAGACAGTAATACCTTAATCTTCTGGTGAATATGCCTCAGTGAATCTGCTGTGCCCATGTCCATGTTGTCACTGATGCACACAAAATCCAGCTTCATTTTTGTGTCCAAATTTAACATCTTTTGGATTTCCTTCCTTGTAATCACAATGACCTCTAGGACAGAGGAAAGTGGGATTAGATCAAGCAAAAAAAAAAAAAAAAATTCATCACAAATGGGATACACTCACTTTTTATTTACAAAGCCTGAAGGAACTGTCAAAAGGCTTGAGTAACATAATTGGGTTCTCCAATGAACCAAGCTCTTTTGGCAATAGTAACTTTTGAAGAAGAGAATTAAACTCCTAATGAATATGAAAACAATCTCTCCTGCTTTGTGTGGGTGGAGGCTTGTTACTGAAAGGGACACATGCATGTGAGTGACACAAGCAAGAACAGAACTGTCTCCTATCGTTAGCAAGTGACTTCAAACAGACCAATGAGACCCTGCACTAATGTCACTGACACTTTAGAGCTTTGTCCTTTGCCCTCCCTGATCCTGTATAATCCTCTGTGGACAACACCACCAACCACAGTATTACAATACAATCATTAAACTATTTCCCAGCACCAGCTTGTCAAGGGAGTGAAGTAATATGTGAGCAACAAACTCATTCCCTCTATAAAATAAAACAGGTAAATGCACATTTGAAGGATATCAACAGCAGCACGAAAGAGTATTTTCCAAAATGAAGAATGTGAGAACAGAAGCTCTGCAAAGAAAAGACTGAGAAAACAAAACAGCAAGAAACCTTTTCCCCTGGCCTCAAGAACTGGAAGGAAAAAGCAAGAGTCAAACCTCCAAATTAAAATATCCCACCACCCCAAAAAACCCCAACATCGTAACATCATATTCCACATGGAATTTTAATAGGCAAGTATGGGAAATAATACAGCCCTCAGCCTAGGAAGCTCCTGTGGCAAGATGAAAACACACTAAGAATAAATCTGTATAGTTCAAAACTGAACTCATCCTGAATCTGTTAACAGAAAAGAGGAAGGAACTGTAAACATGAAAATCGTGTGGCAGTTTGGTACCAGAGATATGGGAGGCCTCCCCTCCCACTCCCGTACTGGATGCCAACTTGGATTCAAAACAGGCTAAAGAACCTAGAGAAAGGGACTGAAACTGAATTTCACCTTGAATTGGGGAAAGAAGTAACGGATTGAGAAGGAATTGGTGTCAGATGGACGTTATAAGCCCACAGTTCAGCAGAAATCTGGTGAGCTGGACAAAGGTCTCCTCTCCTAATATTTATTAGGAGAGATGAAGCACTTGCAGTTGGGACAGAAGGGACGCAGTGAATCAGACTGTGGAACACCTACTTACTAATATAAGCAAGTATGAGGAACTAAAGCCTCCTGTAATACTTAGAATTATGACCCAGGGAGAGAATTCATGCCACTGAAGTATTAACACAGAAACGTACAGCTTGGTCAGGGGGCAGAAGCAAGAGAAGAGCAGGAAGGTGGCAGCTTGCTTACTGAAGCTGCATGTACAACCCTGCATGTCCAAATTTTCATAGGGAATAGATAAGCTGAAGAGCTATGTGTGAGAAAGGAGAAAGATCTAACCATAACACCACCTACTAGTGGTCAAGAGCATCAAGTGGAAATGGCTATTTCTGAATAGTTATAAAGAGCCACACAAAGCACAAAACTGGTTACAGAGAAGCTTTTAGCTACCCATATATCCATATCACTGGATGAAAGTATGATCCTAGCAAAAAAAGAGACAGGAGAACAGTCAAAGAAAGTAGACATTCAGAAAGCAGACTCAGCAAACAACAGGCAAAGAGCAACTCCAAGGGAAAAAAGTTCTTAAGGATTTATTAATTAAACAAAATAAAGGCAAAGTCTTAAGTTTGCTCTTTCTTTTGTTCCTTCACACTGAAACTGTAAGAGGCTGACATGGATAACCATGAGCTAATCTTTAGATCTTCACAGAAAAAAGAATCAGTCAGAAAAAAAACACATTCTTGGGATGGAGTATAATCACACAGTCACACAGGAGAAGCAAAAATAGAAAAGCAGAAAGGCAAAGGAAAAATACAAACATGAAAAAACAGAGCCACGAAAGGTGTCAGGAATAAGTTTTATAAGTAGCAGGGGAAACACCACAGAAAGATTTGGTCCACCACTCAAAGGTAAACAAAAACCTAAACCCAGAAAATACTAAAGAACTTACGTACTAAGTGCTGTTTTAGCCCTCCCGTGGAACAAGGCCCAAAGGTGAGCATTACAAGTCTGCCACCTCCCCCTGCCCTGTTCTGTTCAAAACCTAGTACTTGGCTCCACGCTGCAACAACAAGGACTAAATGCCTCAGACAGAACAAGTAACCCTGAAGTTCAGGCCAGACTGAAACAACAAACCAAATGATATCCCAAGAGAGCTGACATGCTTCTCACGCCACTCTCATTAATGATTCAGAGAAAGAAGCGAGTGAGAGAATCCCAGTTAACAACACTGGGAAAGACACCAACGTTGGGAAAAGAATATAGATGGGAAAAACCTTGCTGAAGGGAGAAAAGGGGGAAGGGGGCGCAGACACAGGAGGTGCAGCCTACAGTTAAGGAAAGGATGTGACATAGGCCAACAGCATAGCTCCAGTGCAGAGAAAAGACCTCCTGCTAAAGCAACTATCCCGATCAACAGAGCACCTACGACAAGACATTAGAACAACGCGGGGAGGGGGAACGACACAAACAGGTGTGGCAGAGGTGGCCCCGGGAAGCCTGAAGAGGCCAGGGTAAGCACGTCTTCTCCACCCCGACCTCAAGCCACCATCATGCCTCACCTTCGAAGCCGGCGCGCTCCAGGAGGTTCAGCGGGTACCAGAGCAGGGGCCGGTTGCCCACAGGGAGCAGCGGCTTCGGGATGCTAGAGGTCAGGTCCGTCATACGGGAACC